TGTCCCATCGTGACCCTTACCCTCTCATGGAACTTTGCATCCCCACATACCACGACCACCGGCTCCTCCCCAGCACTACACATAAGTCTGTCTAGATGCCTCGAGAGATCCGCAACCTTCGCACCAGGCAGGCAAGTCACCATACGGTTCTTCCGGTCATCACAAACCCAGCTATCTACGTTTCTAATGATCGAATCTCCCAATACTAATATTGGACTGCTTTGTTTTCTTGATACACTTTAATGTTTTGCATATTGGAAGTTTTTGCCTGGTGCTGAGATACCTGGTGATATTTAAAAGTGTCAGATGTCCTAGTGAGGGAAGGCCATATATTTCAGTTCTGTGAAGTGTCACTATTGGTAACTCTTTTCCCCCCCAATTGAAGTGCTTGATATTTTGACTGCCGAAGCAAAAAAAAACCTCCGGGAGCGCAACTGCCGAAGCAAAAAAAAAAAAAGGTGGCCAGAATCCCGCCCCTGCAATTGTGCCACCCCAAGCACATGCTTGGTTTGCTGGTGCCTCGAGCCGGTCCTGTACAGCATTCCACTAGGCGGTGGTTTGGTTAAGTTGGTCCTATTTTCATTTTGTACGAATGTTGGAAGTGATGATTTCCAATAGAATCAATTTATAAATCTTATATTGTGTTCTCTATAGTGTACCCTTTAAGGTTTTTAAAGCATTTATTGATATTGAAAACAGTTCATAATTGTCCATGTATAATAACTGGTTTGCGTTATCTCTATAGGAATTGTCAAGCAGAAATTCCAACAGCAGAGCTCCCAAGTGACTGGCATTCAGCAGGTAAGACCAGTGTTTTGAACGCTAAAAAAACTCTGCCTTATCTCTTTGTATTTAAAATAAGATAAGCAGAGGTTTCACCACTTCAGAAACTAAGTAAAAGGAGCATGTGCAGAATTCTTCTGCTTAGCATTTAAAAAATGAATTGTACTATAGACTCTATGTGGGTGTATAGACCAAATAACTAAAAGAAAAATCAACAGGCATTGTAATAAGATCAAATAAATAAAACATGAAGAGCAAATAAAACCTATGCCTTTATAATAGCAAAGAATTCACCATTTGGATTCCTTGTAAAATTGATCTGGAGCATTCTCTGCAAGATAGCTTCTTATATCTGCCTTTTCTATATTCAACATTTTAGATGCCATAGATTAGGACTTTTGCTTCAGAACTTGTACAAATCTTTGTCAGGCAAATTTGTAGTTAATAAATTAAAGATACAACCATGTTTCATTGACAAAATAATTTAAAAAGGTTACTGTAAGTGCTCTTCAGAGTAAGCTTAGGTTTGAGGAGGGGGGTTTAAAACTAGTAGGATGAACATAAATGTTTTGATACATTTGGTCTGGGCAAGCAGTTGGCTCTAAGTGCTATTAAACTAGTAGAAATACAGGTGTAAACCAAATCTGTATTTTCCTGCCAGGTGGACAAACAGAACTATATGTTATGTACTTATACTGAAGACTGTCTTGCAGAAAGAATGAAAAGACCACGGTGTCTTAGAGCTTGTCTATATGGGAAAGGGTTTTTTTCAGTATAACTTTAGCGTTTTTTGGTATAAACTGCTTTGTGTCCATGCAAGTTTTGTTTTGTTTCCAATTTATCTGGCATCTAATCTGGTGAAATAACTCTATTATACAATGAGTTATACTGCTAAAAGGTTCATGTGGATGTATCCCTATTTTTAATTAACCATACTGTTTCAGGTATTCCTCCCACTCTTCTAGCGATATCTGCTTGGCATCACAGAAGTAATGCCAACTCCTCCAACTCATCCAAAGCCGCCTGCCTGCATGATTGCCAGTACATCTGGTACACCTTATTCATATTAATGACAGTAAGGATCATGGTGCTTAGCCGTGCTTCTTCCATGCTGCCTGATGTGTTTGGGCAGTTGGAAAATGGTCCTGGCCCACTAAAACCAGATGAGTTTATGGATACCAGGAGAGGAATCATGGGAGTTTTCCTATTTTGTATTTCTGTTGACCCCAAGTCCTGGCATTCCAGTAGGTTTTGGTAGGTATCCCACAGTGCTCTGTGAGGAAAAATCCCTGAACGCATTGAGCCTGGCAGCAGAACATGAGGTATCTGCCCAAAATGCAGACCAATTTAAAAAAAAAAAAAAAGTTCAGAGCCATGTGGACACAGTGACTCACAGAGGAAGTACATTAAGTCGGCATCAACAAAGGAGTGTGGATGTACTTTCACTGTAGTTACGACAGTATAACTATAGTAGAAAAACCTACACTGGGAAAAAATTTCCTTTGTAGACAGGTCCTAAGTTTCATTGCCTGACCTGTTGGGCTAATATTCAAAGTGTAGCACCTCACCATATGAACTGGACAAAAGTTTTCTGTGTGCCTTATGTTTCAGGTCTCAGTAGTAAACTAGCAATGGTCCACATGACTCAGCTTACACAGAACTTGCAAGAAGGTAATAAAGATATGGCCAAAAATATCTGCTTATGGTGAGATGGTATGATCCACACTGCCAGACACCCAGCATAAAGCACATGTTGCCTAATGAGGACTTGAAGAGAAAAGCACAAGTTAAACTCTCCACTCTAAAATAGTGAAATTGAAGAAAATCTAGCAGGGGAAGGTGATATCTTCACTGTGTAGGTTTGAAGTCTGGAGAGGGTTTAGCTACTGAGATAATTATGCTCTCCAGCAAGATTTCTCAGGGGTATTAGTTACTTGCCCTTATTACTTAAGGATTTCAAGAGGTTAGAATAATTTGTTCTAATAATTGGGCTGGTATCTATTTACAGTTATTTCACAGATTAAAACATAGAAACCTGTCTCTAGAGCGCTTTCGCAAACAATAGGGTGAACCCTTATGACTGGATATAAAATCTTCCAAACAGAGATAAGAAAAGGACAGGGAGCCACAAAGCTGTGTTTAAATGTAGTAATCCAGCTGTAATTATTTGGTACGTTTTAGAACAGACTTTTATTCTACTGCTGCATACTGAGATGTTGGGCACTTCCACCACACTGATTGCATTGCTCAGTTTCATTCATGGAACAATCAGTTGCAGGGTTAATTTGATAAACCTTATTGCCATCAGCAGTCAGTCTTGTGTGAAATTAACAAATACATAAATAAGCAGAATTTTCCACACATAGGCAGAGAAAAACACTGAGGGCAGATGAAAGAAAGCAAGTAAAGTGAAAGAAAGAAATGAAGAGTGTGATGAAGCTAATTTATTTAAAGAATAAAGGGGCAGATGATATCACCAATGACGAAGGGCGTGATCCAATGCCCACTGAAGCCAATGAAGGAACACCTACTTATGGGCATGAAATTAACCTCTAGCTGCCATTTATTTTGCAGATTGTTCTCCTGGCAAGGCCTCTTGTCCCTCCCTTAGCTGATGATTGTCTTGGGCTTTCTGTATATGGGAAAGTTGCACTAGTTGAACTTAAATATTTTAAAACTGATTTAGTTAAACTGGTGGAAACTTCTGTATAGACTTGCTTATTTTGATTTTAACTGGACCTGATTCCCAGTCAGTTCAAGCTAAACTGCAAAAAGCCACAGTTAAACCAGTTTCTGCATAGACACACTTATTTTGGTTTAAATTCACATTTCCTGAAATGTTAGCAACTTTCTCAGCCCTCAGTGATTGGGATTGTCAACAGTTCATACTCTTGAGTTGAAACTAGTGACACCCAGTTGGGCTGGCTGCAGGAGTGAATTGACAGAGTAGTTCCACACCAACACAGCATCCTAGAACTTGACACTGCATCACGTGGCTTTTGAATACTGAGAAATTACATAAAGAATCTCTGACGTTTTCACGTGTGGATCATAAACAGGATCTGTTAGAAAAATGATCTTGTCACAGCTTACAGTAAGATAGTTTTCTTTTGTGATTTGCACTACTTCTGAAGTTTGTTCAGAGCTTTGTGAAAATTACAGCTCAAATAGGTTTTCCCTCCCACCCACCGCTGAAGATTAAAGGCCAACGTGACCGATGATGTAATCAGGCAAAAATCTCCATTGACGTAAATTCATGACAGTTCGGCCCAATGTTTTGTAATCTATTCCATCTCTTCTACAGTCTTGATGTTTTGGTACAGTTGATCTTATTAGTGGTTGCTTACTTGACCAACGATAAACTGAATCCTTTGTAGTCAAACACAGACTGTTCTTAACTGAGCGTGGGAGAATATTCTGTAGCTTGACGCATTGCTGAGATTTAGTCACTGTCATATGTGATCAGTTGACTTTTGGTCAAACAAGGAGTACAGCCTCTTCTTTTAGAACGTTTCAGCAGCACATCAATAGGTGGGGAAATACATTGAAATAAACCTAATCTAGCTCAGTTCAAATTTTAAAGTGAAAAGCAGTTGATTGGAAGGTACAAGTAGATGATTTTGTTCCAGTCTGCTTAGGATGTTGTGTGTATTCTCTTGCATAATATTTTGTAAGGAAAATCAAGCAGTACAGTGCTAAGGTTGTCACTGTGACTCCCCACTTGGGTCTGATTTTAAGACCTCATCCATATATTAATAGACAGACCCGTCATCTTAGAACTAAAAATGCTCAAGCCTATGGATTGTATCAGTGTTTGAAACCATTTTCCAACGATGTTGCGAACTAATGCCAGTTTTATCCAGCGCTAACAGTGCTGGAAAATTGTCAAGCACAGTTACAGCAACAGTATGTGTTTAAGAATATGCATGCTGTAGTTTCAATAAGGGATTTACTCTCATAGGTTATGGAAACACTAGTATTAGTTAAGAATTTTCTGCAAGGCAATTGTGATTCTGGTCTCAAAGACCTTCTGCAGAGATTTATCAATGTTGCAGAATTTGGGAAACATTTTTATTGGTTGCATTGAATACAAAAGGATAAATGCTCATATATGTTCTATTTCTCACTTACAGCATCCTCCTGAAAGAGCTAGGAAAGGGTTTGTCTTAATTTTGTTGTCTGAGTCCTGATTGTGCTTGGTGCTGTACAGACACAGAGAAACACAATATCTACCCTAAAGAACCTACAATCTAAATTGCATGAAAACAAAGAAGGAATAGTTCAGACAAATATGATGCAACATTGAAAGGCCAAACTTCAAATCATGTAGAATTTTTATAAATATACTGGTGGGTGTAATGCTGAAAGAATTAAGGAGCCAGTTGTGCAATTGAATCTGCCTGGATTATGCAGCAGTCTGTTGACTTTGGTGGAGCCTGACACACAGTCAGAGATCTTCCCATGGAGTTCTGATTGCAGTGCCAGGTCCTTTGTTTTTAAAGACTGGATTTGGCGGTGGAGTGCATGGTTGTAATGAGAAGGATGAAACAGAGACTGCATGAAAGGTGACATGAAGATGAGTGAAAAGAATAAAAACAGGGTTTTTGTGATTTGTTTACTTGTGGATTCACACATTTTCCCTTAGTATGGGAATACTGTTAGTGTCTAATATAGTTCCTATCACTCAGATTTCTAAAAATTATCCCTTATGTAACTTTAAGTTTAAATTTAGCTTCTCGCTTGAAGTCTTTGTTTGCTTTTGAACATTGCTTTTCCTCCAAAGCTTCTGCAATTAGTGTTGGAGTTCAGGAACTACAGCTTGCCTAATCAGTGACCTGGCAGGAATAGTATTGGATACATTTTAAGTAAAAATTGTTGGTGTCTCTTATCAGGGCCAGAAAGTACATCCTGTCTCACTGGAATAACAGAAGGGGGCCTTCTGAAAGACACTGGTTGAAAAGACTTGATGCGTGTGCTCTTCTGGAAAAGAGAACCTACAGAATTAGAGGGTCAACTAAAATGCTTGACAAGGTGTGGACTACATAAATTTGTTTTCTTTGGTTAATGAATGTAATTGTACTTTGAGCCAAATAATACGTAACAGGGCTCATTAAAGACTGCTAGTTATGAATTGTCAACAAAAAGCAATATCTCTTTAAAACTAGAACTGCAACTCCTGTTCAGTGAATCTTCCTCTCACACACCCACACCTTTTCCTCCCAGTTCAGCATTCTTGGGGAGAGGAGAAAAATGCAGCTTCTGGAGCTTATATATACTGTGGCATAAATTATGCAACTTTGACAAGTGATAGCAAAATCTAGAGACCACAAGACAAAGTAGTATAACAAAACTTTTTAGATTTGTAATATTGTGTAGGGCAGGGGTTCTCAAACTGGGGGGTTGCGAGCTGCCACCCTCCACCCCAAACCCTGCTTTGCCTCCAGCATTTATAATGGTGCTAAATATATAAAAAAGTGTTCTTAATTTATAAGGGGGGTCGCACTCGGAGGCTTGCTATGTGAAAAGGGTCACCAGTAAAAAAAAGTTTGAGAGCCACTGGTATAGGGACCACATGCTTTATAAATTGTAACTAATTACTAGTGTTTTGTTTGTTTCCATTGACCACCCTTGTAAGACTTTCAGACCTGAAGTAATTATTTACCTGGAAACTGATTAGTGCTTTGCTGTCAGGGTGACAGGCCAATTTAGTCTGTGATGTAATTCCAGTGAAATCGGCAGAATTACTGTAAGGATGAATTTTTCACATCTTTTAGGAAAGATTTCCAGTTAAAGCACTTTGGAAAGCTTTTATGGCTTTGAAATGGGTTAAAAGCTGCTGAGATGGAATTAGAACTGTCAAACCCACTACACTTAAACATTATTTCATTTGATGAGTCACTCAGACGTATTCAAACTACAGATCCAATCTGGAATACGGATCCTGTATTTTAATAAAATTGGTTTAAGCAAAATTATCATTAAATATAGTACAAAATGGTGGGATATTACATTTAATTGCTTAAATATTACAGAATTAAACACTGAAGTTATAAATAGGATTAATGCCTATAAGTTAATTTTAATGCACAAGCATAGTTTGCCAGAGGTTTCAGAATTTAGTCATTAACGAGTCCAGATGGTGTATAAACACTAAAAAACTTAGTAGCATGACACTTGAATTTTTCTAATAGAAAAATGTACTTGTGCTCAGAGACTAGAGAAAACACGTGATCTGTCTGGGATATACAGTAAAACGTAGCAACCTTCTGGATATGTGTGTTACAGGGAACTACAAACTGACAAAGGGAACTTGTGTGTGTGTATGAAAACTTCCATCAGTGTATAAACAAAAACTCATTGTAGTCTTTGCTTCATAGGACTGTTCTAAGAAACTGTCACTAGGTCATACTTTCTTGATATTTAGTTTATTAAAAATATCTTGGGACATATTTCATCAGTCTTTGCTTTGAATTGATTTGAGTTTGCTATTTTCTGTCTTGACTACCGTCATTTTTTAAAGGACATGCAAACTCTTTATCAAACATTATGAAGGATAATCACTGTATTGCTTTATTTTACGTTGAGTTCTATGGGCTGCTGTATTCAGTGGAGGCCTTGCTTACACTATGAAATAGAACTGTTGCTAGCATTTGAAAAAGGGCTAGATGAAGTTTCCCTGCATTTGCAGTTCAACCAGGCACATCATCAGTTCAGTTCAGCTGCAATTATAGCTAATTACTTGTCAGTAATAGTTCAAGTTCATAATGTAGACGAGGCCTGAGAATGAGAGCCCTGTAAAATACATAGCCATACCTGTAGTATTTCACTGGTGACTGAAGCAGGTCTATATAGCTACAAGAAGAAATCTTTCTGAGAGATTAAATACCATACTGATGCTGCTGTAATGTAGACTTGCTTGTATTTTCTGTCTCAGTTTCCGAACTGGTTTTTCTCTCTCTCTCTCTGTCTAAGAAAGATTGGGAGAGTAAACAGGAAGTGGCGCACATTTGTGCAGGATGCGACAGCAACTTTACGCTTCTTGCTGTTTCTTAAATCTTTATAGCACAGTTCCCTGTAGGCAGTGCTTAATTTGTGCCTCTAGGCTTGGCAGTTCATAGCCCTGGCACTTCTGGGCTTGCCACATCTGTTATGAAAGTAAAAAAAACTTGCTTGACCCCGGCACCTCTTTCATAACAAATTAAGCACTGCCCGTAGGCATCCTGTAGGTATATTCATGTAACACTGAAATATTGTAGGCTGTGTGTTTTGACAGTGTTAAATTAGGAATTTTTTTCTGGGCGATGCTACAACCTTTTAAAATGCATGAGTTAAAAAGCTGAATGATGAACAATCTGGAAGTGTGACTCATTACACAAGAAGAATAAGCTTGAGCAACAATGCACAAGGGTTAGGAGTATATATTCTGCCAGGATAGACACACTTTAAATGTAAAGGATAAGGTCTAACATGGTACTTATGACCCACTCATAGTAGCAGATTGACTGATTGGAAACACCTCTTAGAGTATGGTATGGATTTTTTTAGGAATATTTTGTAAATATAATGAGAGACTTTTAGCTGATTTGTTAGCCAGGAATCTGTCATAATTTGGTGTAACAACTACAGTATATCATGTGTTCCTTGCAATTATTCTGTATGCCCAAGTTATATTCTACATTTTAGTGTCCAGTTCATTTTTTGTTTTACCTCCACAGTAGATCTGGATTGTTCTTAGCCTGTAATAAATGATAAAAAGCAGTCCATTTCTGAACCAAAGGAGGAAATGGAATAAGTGAATTCAGACACAATTACAGTTGCTAAACACCATTTGTATCTAATTTATTGGTTTATTTACTTGGCAAAACCCTTTGTCTTGTACAAGCAGTCTCTCTCTTCTATTTGAACTGAGAGTCCAGTGAGGCAGAGGTAAATAAACATCTTTTTAATGTGCAGTCTGTTCAAAGGCAACTTTTTCTGTTTTGTTTTAAAACTGTCTTAATTTTACTCAGAGCTTTCTGTTGGTGATCCTCATCAGTTTCAAAGGGTTATTAATGTGTGGCAGGCAGTAGTAACATATGGACTATTTTAGGCCAGGGACTGTGGGTACCCAGGATAGCTGTGAATTAGGCTTTAGCAACTGCAAGCAAGCAGTAAACGAGCTGCATATAAACTGAATAAAACACAGAGAACTGTGTCTATATTATAATTCTAGCAAGTCCTCTCATAGGCCCTAGTTCAGGAAAACACATACACAGCCTTCCTGAATAGGGATGCTTTATGGAATCAAAGCCATAGGGACCTATTGGCAAGAGCTGGATATTCTTAAATGGGTTGTAAATAAGGGATTGGAAGCGGCCAACACAAGCAGGTACTTTATTTAAAACTACCTTAATTTAAAATCCATATGAAAGCAGCCCCTCCATTTAAAATACTTGCAAGTAATCTACTAGACAGTGAGACTTCTCTGTCTAGAAGGAGGAAAAGCTCTCCAACTCCAAATAGGACATAGAAAGTGAATTGCAGTTTTACTTCACCGTTAAATAAAAAACAAACTTTGTTCAGATAAACTACAGCAGTGTAGGACGCAGAATGTCTAACTGACAAGAGCCTTTCAGCCTAACTGCCAGAGATGCAGAGTCCATATTTTCAATCTCCCCACCTCTCCTGAAGCTGGAGAGATGGGGTGCTCAGCCTCCCCAGTTCCAAAGCTAGCAGGAAGTGGAGAGGCTTCTCCAGCCTCAGAGTTGGGAGGAGACATAAGGGGCAGAGCTGTCTGGCCCTCGAGCTTGGAGTGGGGGTGGGAGGGAGGCAGCAGAGAGTCAGAAGGCTCAGAAGCCCTCCTGGAAGGCTTCTGTCAATTTCACTTTTTACCTACAGGCAGAAAGTAGAATTGACAACGCCTTCCCCTGGGGCAGCTGGGAAGTTGGAAAATTGAGATTTTCCTACTAAAAACTTTGACTTAAAAAAAAAAAAAAAAAAAATCAGAAAATCATTCCAACAGAAACTTCCAACCAGCCCTCTGAGTTTCTTATGTTGTCTCCATTACTGTGCATTGCACTCCTAAGTATGTGATTAAACACTGCTAATTGGGATCTACGCCTTTGTATTACTTAAACTTACAGGAAAGATACAATTGCCTTTTTATTCTAGGTTGGAATTGAATGCAGCAGTTCGACAGCCCTCTTTCTGCAGCAGACTTGGTGCAGGTAGACCCCTGCACAGAGGCTCACTGGCTTCAGTGGGGCTAGGTGCACGTGAAGTCATCTGCAGGATCAAGGCCTTAATTTGGATATTTACAGTACCATTTTTCATGGTCTTGAACTTAAGTGTTTTGTTTTAAGAAGCAAGAGAGGGGGCTATACCAACAGAAAACTTGTTTGTAGAAAGTATCAGGATTCATTTTGAAATGGACCTTTGAAGTTAGCAATCCCTGATTCTTTAATCTTGTTTAAGAATGGATCTCTGCAAGCATATACCAAGGAAGGGCAAAGAGGTTGTTTGTCTAGATGTTCAAATCTGGTGGAGTTCTAGTGTTAGAGGGCTTTCCCTTCACCCTCTCCCCTGGTTCTTGTCACATAGACAGAAAGCAGAAGACCAGAAGTCCGAAGCGCAGACAATGCAATGTTTATTGGGGTTAGTTTCCAAGCAAGCATATTCCGAAGCCCTTCACGCCAGTCGAGCTTATTTCTATATGCGGATAGTCTGTTCCCCAGTGTTCTGTTCCCAGCTCTGATGCCGCATAGCATTTACCCCGTTTCCCCCTTACCAGCTCTGACCCTGCAGAGTGTTTACCCCGTGTCCCCCTTCCCAGCTCTGACACTGCAGAGCCTTGCCTGTGTCCCTGTTCCCATTCCCCCCTTCCCCCCCACTTCCTGTTTGACCCCAGTTTATATAGTAATATTCTCAGCTATACCTTAACCAATTTTTACTGAAATTTAACCAATCCTCACATATTGTAACATAATTCTCTAACCAATTATATCCCACTACCCTCATCAACTTACACCTAGCAAAATTAATTATACAGCAGACAGAAACAATTGGAGAACCAGACAGATTAACAATAGAAAAGTGGGGGCCATAAAGATAAAACAATACAGAAATGAGGTTTCACAACCACAGTCATTGATAGGTGATTTCTTGCCAGTCAGGATGCTATCAAACTAAGTTTTCTTTAACCCTCTTAAGAGCTGTTTATTTATCTGGTGGTGATGAGCACTATCAGGACAGGATTGTCTTCCTAACAGCCCAATACCACCTTATTTCAATGTGGTTTGGAATGTGAGGATGCGACCGTTCGCTTCCCAGCTTATGGCTGCCCCTGCTGCTTAGCCAAAGGCCTTAGCCTAAGAACAAGGCCTCAGACTATCCTAGTGAGAGAAGGCCCTTACACAGGCATACTGTGATTTTGATTCTTTTATTTTATACACCTGTAACTAGCTAAGTGATAAAAATACACCTAAATTCTTAAAGTATAGTCCTTTACAGGCAGGACAGAATATCTATAGTCTAACATCTAGCATTTTGATTCGCTGATATTTTATCTGCCTTTAGGGATGGACAATAGCTATCTGAGCCCTCCTTCAATTGCTTTTCATTAAGAGGTTCCTAGAAACTTAGCCCTCTGTCTCCCCATTTTAAACTCTTTGGAGTTGAGGCACCCCAGAGATTACCAGACAAAGATATACTTTCTAATCCGTTTGCCCAGCTCTAGCATCTTGTAACTTTGGATTAGTAGCATCCAGAGTATGGGTATTACTGGTATTTGGCAATATTTTACTAGCTTGTCCCATATAGTAGAATTTGTACTCTTGTAATGGAAACTATTACCTCTTTGTATGTCAATGCTGAAAAAATATTGAAATGGACTAAATTATACCTTGCGTTTTTTGAAATCATGCAGGTTCCTCCCACATATTCATTTAGCAAGAAACTATAGAATTGCCACCCAGTATTAGTTAGGGATAAGTTCTTTTATGTGGTTTCCTTTTTGTTTGTTTTTCGTATGGGTTTGGCACGGTGCAGAAAACTTGACCTTCAGATTGTTTCTGGGTATATTGTTGTTGTGGCTGCAAAATGGAGAACATGCTGAATTAGAGAAAATGCTTGTAAAGCATACCCTTTAAACAGGTCACATCAGCAATGAGGTAAGAATTCTGATTAAGGCTGACCTACTTGCTCTCTATTCAAAATAGTCTCAGATACTTCAACTGTACTCCCAATGTTTTCCCATGCAGAATGAAGATAAATGCAAAGATGGCATGTCCAAGGAATTTTAAAAGGTGTAGACCTCCTGATTGAAGATTGTTGTGTATCTTATTCTGTTTAACTAGTAAAGTAAGTATGAACATTTTATGTATGATATATAAATAAATATTGATTTGCACTTGCTGAATTAAAATAAACTCAACTATTTACTATCATTAACACGTAAAATACAATAGAGCCTTGCTAATACATACTAATTGGGCCACTTACCCTGACTATTGAATTTTGTGAATTAGGAATAAGCAAAAAATGCAAACACAATGTGTCACGATCCATATTTCTGTTCACTTAGCTGTGCTTAATTATAATATCATACCATGCTAGTTTTCTATTCTGTAGCATATCTTATAAAACCAAGTGTACGTAAGCATACATTTGTCTGTAGAACTCTGCTCCTAAATTTTTGCTGGGGAAAGACAGAAGGGTTGGGGGGGGGGGGCCTATGTGAATTATAGGGTATCAGCCATCAAAGTTGTATTGCATTTCTAGTCCATTTGGGGCGTTCTGTTTTCCTCAGTTGAACAGAATTCCATCTAATATCAGCAAGTCTATGTCAGGCAGTACTGCTGATATCTCATCAAGATTGAAATGTTCTCCTTACTCTGTACTAATTGACCATAGTAATCTGGCTAGGGTAATTACTCCTGGGGGAATTCTACACCCAAAAATTTAAAAGTTCTGTACACAATGTTTTAAAATTTTGCAAAATTCTGCATAAATTTGTCAAAATAACACAATTTAATCATACCAGTTTCAATTATTTTGGTAATTTATTTCAAAATGCCTGTCAGCAAATTTGTAACAATACAGACAAAAAAATTTAGGAAGTGTTATTTTGACAAATAGATTCCTTACTAGACATATTAATACAAACTTTGAGTAATAATAATTCATTTAAACTACAATACAGAAACATATTTCCTGCACCCCTCGGAAACAGTGCAAAGACTTGGCAGAGTCAGGGCAGGGGTAATGGAGGAACTGAGGGAGAGGGAAGTAATTGCTGGGAAGAAGCCTAGGAGTGAACCTGGAGGGTTGTTGGGTATGGGTGGGAGAAATATGAAACAGGGACTTTTTTGCAGGGAGTTGGAGGGGGAGGAGAGGGAGGATTATTGGGGTGCCTCCCCCATGCAGACCCTGGCAGACTCCTAGCCTCTCCCATTCAGTCAGGCACATCTGCCCCCCCTCCCATTCAGCCTCTGGTTCAATGCCATCACCCACTAGCTCCTGAGCCCATGCCCCAGTCTGTCCACCCCACTATCACTGCTGAGCCCCAGTCTGTGACCCCACCCCCAGCAGTCCCATGTGCCCTGCTCTATCTGTCTGTGCCTCCTCACCTGGCTCCGAAGACTGGCTGTTCTCTCTTCTGGCACGAAAGCAGCCCCTGGAGGGTGAAAGGTATAACTGCAGCGCCTCTCCAGCAGAATCTATATTCTGCGGAGAAAAAAAATCTGCGGGGGAGGACATGAATTCTGCATGTGCGCTGTGATAGGGAATTCCCCGAGGAGTAAGTAATGGCCAAGAGTAGTCTTAACTCTTTATGCTGTGATTCAAATGCCTTTCCCAAAAGGAGCAATATAATGTTTACTACTGTATAACTTTAAATGCTAAACATAAGTGAACTGCTATTTGTGTTTTCAGTAAGAATTTCCCTAGCTAAGTTCCACATTTTTGTAGCTGTTCCTGTGTCAGAGCAGTAGAAAATGGAATGACCAAAGGGTCTGTCTCATCTCTAATGCATATAATGCTGTTTGAACTCTTCTTGTTTAAATGTTCATATTGTAAGACATGTTTACTTTATCTGAAATGGACCAAAACTTGGTCTCTTCAATGAGTTCATCTCTTGAGGTCGGATTGTCAGCATTGAAGCCTTTCCTAATCATTTACTTAGTATTTATAGAATGTTACATATATTACTCTAAATACTTCCAATACCTTTTTGAGCCACATAGGTTTTAGCCCCATTTCACAGATGGAAAAACTGTGACACTGAGATCACAAGACCATGACTGAACAAAGCACTTAATCAATGCTTAACTTTGAATTCAGTGGGACTACTCTTGTTTTTGGTCTCACTGGTAAAGTTCTATTGGCGGAATCAATGGAACTACTCAGAACATGCCTAATTTAGGTAGTTTTCCCATTGATTTTGGGGGTTAAATCAGGCCCTAAATGACTTCTGCCAATTCATTATTCAATTTTATGCAAGTACTAGGATTACAATTTGGGAATTGCTGGGCCATAGTCCAAAGCTCAGTCCACTAGATCAGTGTTGTTATGCTTGTTTATAAAGGAGTAAACTGCCTAATAATCAGGACTTAAAATAATTGTATTGCATAGTTCGATTATATTAAGTAAATAGATTTGAGCACTTGTTCTAAGGATCTTTCTCTTTCTCTTCTCTAGTTGCTGCTGTCCTACAGGTGAAAGTCATGATTACGCTAACTGAACTCAGATATTTAGCAGACGCTCAGTCATCCTACCACATATTAAAACCATGGTGGGATGTCTTCTGGTATTACCTCACCATGATTATGCTGCTGGTTGCTGTACTAGCCGGGGCTCTCCAGCTCACTCAAACTAGAGTGTTGTGTTGTCTTCCTTGTAAGCTAGAATTTGACAGTCGTTGTGCAGTGCCTTGGGATTTGGTTAAAACCAACCTTAACGTGTCCTCTAGCTCTGCCACACAAATAATTCTCCCTTCGAGAATCCAGAATGATCTTCATCGGCAGCAATATTCCTACATTGACGCAGTGTGTTATGAGAGACAGCTTCATTGGTTTGCCAAATTTTTCCCATACCTAGTGCTTCTGCATACTTTCATTTTTGCAGCTTGCAGTAACTTTTGGCTCTACTATCCTAGCACAAGTTCAAGGCTTGAGCACTTTGTAGCCATTCTTCACAAGTGTTTTGATTCTCCATGGACAACACGAGCCCTCTCAGAAACAGTTGCTGAGCAGTCTGTGAAGAGTCTGCCACTATCCAAATCCAAAATATTGCTTTCATCACCTGGGAGTCAAACGGATACAGAGGCAAACAGGCAGTCTCTGCCATACACACAGCCTGGTTTAGAAACAACTGGAAGAGAGAATTCTTCGAGTGTTCTAGACAAAAAAGAAGGGGAACAAGCTAAAGCTATATTTGAAAAAGTGAAAAGATTCAGAGTACATGTTGAAGAGAAGGATGTCATATATAGAGTGTACATGAAACAGATTATAATCAAAGTAATTGTATTTATAATAATAATGATTTATGTCTCCTATTATTTAACTTTTATTACACTTGAAATTGATTGTGTAATTGATGTTCAAGCCTTTACAGGTTACAAAAGGTACCAATGTGTTTATACCCTCGCAGAAATTTTTAAAATATTAGCTTCATTTTATGTTGTTTTAGTGACCTTCTATGGCCTGACCTGCACGTACAGTTTGTGGTGGATGTTGAGAAGTTCACTTAAGCAATATTCTTTTGAAAAGTTAAGAGAGAAAAGCAATTACAGTGATATCCCTGATGTAAAGAATGACTTCGCATTTATTCTTCACTTGGCAGATCAGTATGATCCACTTTATTCACAACGATTCTCAATATTTCTGTCTGATTTGAGTGAAAACAGACTGAAACAGATAAATCTTAACAATAAATGGTCAGTGGAAAAACTGAAAAATAAACTAATAAGAAATTCCCAGGACAAGATCGAACTTCAGCTTTTCATGCTAAATGGTCTTCCAGACAGTGTCTTTGAACTGACTGAAATAGAAGTTCTAAGCTTGGAACTCATTCCTGAAGCCAAGCTTCCGTCAATAGTGACTCAGCTAGTCAATCTCAAAGAAATTAATATTTATCATTCATCATTAACTGTGGATTACCCAGCACTAAACTTTCTAGAAGAAAATCTGAAAACATTGCGTCTAAAATCCAGTGAAATCGGAAGGATTCCACTTTGGGTCTTTCATCTAAAAAATCTCAAGGAATTGTGTTTAACAGGATGTTTTTTGCTAGATTACCACAACTCTATATACAATGAAGGTTTTCAGGATCTAAAGAATCTGAGAACAATTTACTTAAAGAACAGCCTTTCCCGTATACCTCAGGTGGTTACAGACCTATTGCCTTCACTGCAAAACTTATCTATCAATAATGAGGGAAATAAACTGGTCGTACTAAACAACTTGAAAAAATTGGTAAACCTGAGAACCTTGGAGTTGATCTCCTGTGATTTAGAGCGCATTCCACATTCTATTTTCACCCTAAACAATTTGCATGAAATAGATTTAAAAGAGAATAATCTCAGAACAGTGGAAGAAATAATGAGCTTTCAACATCTCAAGAACCTATCTTGCTTAAAATTGTGGCACAACACCATTTCATATGTCCCTGCGCAGATCGGTGCATTATCAAACCTGGAACAACTGTACTTAAATTACAATAACATTAAAAATGTTCCACTGCAGCTATTTCTTTGTAAAAAGCTACACTATTTGGATCTTAGCTATAACAAGCTAACGTCTATTCCGGAAGAAATCAGTTATTTGACAAATCTGCAGTACTTCGCTCTGACAAAAAACCATGTAAGTAGAACTCTTAAATTACTTTAAGCATTAGAAATTCTGATTTTTGTCTACCCTGTTTCTTCTTGAAGACTCTATGGCCTGCTAGAGCTCACCAGCTTTATGGCACTGTAAACAACAGGGACGTGAAACCCAGTTAACTGAGAGGGGAAGTGATTTTTTTTTTTGCTTTTTTAAAACTGGTCAAAGCAGGGTCTAAATGATCAGGTAGTTGACACAGATGTTCTGTGTAAATTGGCCTAATCTGTAATGACTGTTCAGTTGGGTTCAGCAGGTGCAAAAGGAATGTCATTTATTAAGCATAATTCTTAAGAAGGAGCATAAGTAGGAAAAACAATCTGATCATACTAGCAATTTGATTTTTAGATTTCCTTGATGTTCTGTGAAGAATTAAACTTTTCTCACCTAGCCACATTCATAACCAGAGATACACAGCACTGTTTTCATGCAAATATTGAAAGTAGACTTTTTCCTGACTGTATCCCTTTTATAGCATACAAAATTGTCATTTCCTTACGCTGTATCTATCTTTTTTAATTTAAAAACATTTTGAGGGTAACAAATGCATTGGGTAATGAAAAATATGCAGTTTTTGTATAGGTTAACAAGCTTTAATTAGCATGTCCTCCTTCCTCTTTGTAGATTGAGATACTGCCAGATGGATTATTTCAGTGCAAAAAGCTGCAATGTTTACTTCTGGGACATAACAGCCTGACGAGTTTGTCTCCTCGTGTTGGCCAACTGTTGAACCTTGTTCAGCTAGAGCTGATTGGGAACTACCTTGAATCGCTTCCTGCTGAACTAGAAGAATGTCAGTCTCTGAAACGGAGTTGTCTAATTGTAGAAGAAAGGTTGTTAAAAACGCTTCCACCTTGTGTGAGAGAGAGCTTGCAGACTTGCTTGGATAAATGTTAAATGAGATGAGACTCTGTACATCAACAAATCCTTTAGGCCTTTGACTTACTATCTGTGTAAAGATCGGTGTAAGTGGAAAGAAGGAAAGAGAGGTAACAAATGGTTTACAATTCAGGTCTAAATCTACCCGTATTGCCCTGAGTCTTGTTTATAAGAAAAGGAAAAAATTGCATTTGTCTTAAAACAAGCAAACAAAAGTGTAGACTTAGCAGACAGACATACATTTGTGAATAACCTGATATGTAAGTGATTGGGTTCTACTGGCTGATGTGCTTTCAGTAATAAATGTTTACGGTCACGAGTGTTGGGATGGAAGAGTTGGTTGCTTGGCTGTAGAGTATCTCATTTTTTCATGGAAAATTTTATTTCTTCTGAAAACAATAATTTTAAATGGCTTAATCGTATGTTGTATTGGGAGCAAGGATTACCTAGGTTTGTTTTTTCAGACATATACTCACTGCTGACTTGGAGTAGCATGTGTTAAGTTAGGACTATCCTATTTAAAATAACATAATTAACTGGTTCATCATGCGTTTTGAAAATCATTTTACAATGTAATTTTACAGTTTTAATGTTTTTTTTTCATGTGACAAAAGTGTTGAACGTTAAACTTGTAACTTTGGAAGATGCCACTTGACTCTTTTTATTAAAACAGTTGGACAAGTATTCTACACACCCTTCTACAACCCGCTTCAATATTTTATGTCTTTAAAGTAGCAAAAATTGAGCTAATTAACTATCTTGTTTGCCTAGTAGGTGGGATTCAAATATAGCTTATTTAGTTTTAAAAATCAATCCGAAGAACCCTAAGTATTCAAGTAGCTACTGTTCATGTAACAAAGATACTTGCTTTGTTCACATGTACTTAACTGAGACAACATAAATTGATAATTCCATAATATCTACCTTCATTGATCATAATGGCAAATGGAACACAGTGCAACCATGAATTGTTTGGTAAGTTGTGGGGATCCCAGCTGTAAGTGATGTATACTCCCACTTGCCACTTAACCTTCCAATTGTTGACTCCCTCAATGTTCCCTCCCCCTCGCCCCCATTGTGGTGTTAATGTACTGGTGAAAAATTTTCATCAAAGATTAATGGATGGAGAGGGAAAGATACAACTTAAAAAAAGAAGAAGGAGGAGGAAATAAGCCCATGCAGTTCAGAAGTGCTTGTAAAAACACCATAAGCTTTCTCTTTTCTGCTAAATGGTATGTGTCTACAAGGTGTGAGCTGAAGGGAAGCTCTTATTACCCTTTCCTTTATTTAATATACTCCAAACTGGAAGGAAATAAAGTGGTTGCAGATTTTATATATTCTTTTCCTGTACACTTTGTTTCATTATTTACTTCTAAGTCTGCTCTTCTGGAATTTATCATCTCAGCTAAGAATTTTGGATTTTGCCTGTTATGGTATGTATATACACACACACAACCTGCTAGCATGCATTCAGGGAACATTTTTCTAATGTGTTAAAATTCAAATGTAAAGTGCAGGCTAATGTATGTTTAACCAGATACAACTACATCTGACAAAAACACTAAAAACATTGACTTCTTAAGATTCTTGATGTTGAATAATTGTAATCCCTGGTTTGTCATTAAATCACTAGAGGATGAGTTAATATATCTAGTTTATTTTTGGTCACTCTTTGCTCTCATTCACAATGGCATTGTCTTGGAGTTAAGGTTTACCTTTTAATTTTTTTAAAAAATCATATACTTAGATTCTGATCCCCTACATATAAATAGGAGATGGTCTTTAGCTATCCAACAGGTTAATATTTATTCATCCTGCAAATTGCATTCCAAAGACCTTTCTAAATAAAACATTCTTCTCAGGGAATCAAACATATGGAACTTCATGAATTTTTCCATAGCTTTTCAGTCTTTTGTTTTTAGTAGGTGCTGTATTGAATGAAAAAATTTGCATCAACTGAACAATCACATCTAAATGTTAAGCAATATTTCTGGAATAGTATCTTTTTGTAACTTCCTTTTCAAGTTTTAGTCCAAGATATAATTTTTATGTCTCATGATAGGTCCAAGGGTACTTGCATATTCACAAACAGAGCTAGTCTTAGAATATAACTACGTTAGAGCGGAACAACTTGTGCCACTATCAATAGAGTTGAGTTAATAATTACAGTATAAATGACATGTCAGGACAATTTTAAAATCACTTTGTGCTGGAATTTGATGCACAAAATTTTGGCCTACAAAGTACTTTAAAAATAATTATTATTACAAAAGTGGATTTTGTTTTTGGTAAAAGTTCTTTTAGTCTTAAGCTTTATTTCATTCCTTTGTTGAAAAGCAGTATTGATATTTAAAAGAGCATAAGGTTAAACAGATGTCTGGTGCAAACAGTTATTTAGAACAAAATTTTTACAGCTTTTTAGTTGTGTAAACCCTTTTTCATGATTAGCACACTGACACAGCTTAACTATGGCTTTGATCTACTTAGTATGCATTTATTTCATCCAGAGTTTGTCCTTCAGAAGTGAACTAGACTAATAGGAAAATAATATAGAGACTGATCCTGCATTCTTAAAATGTGCATAACTCCAAAAGAAGCTGGGGAAACTGTCTAAGAACCATGGGATTAGACCCATAAACATTAATGTTTCATGGGTGGAGTCTGTTTTTTAAAAGAAAAACAAAAACTTACAGCTGTACTGGATGAGTATCTAACATTTTGTTATTTTTTTCACTTTTAAAAAAGAGAAATGAACTCAAAGCCTACATCTTAAAGTAATATAATATGAATGTTATGTTACACCCTGACAAAAGCCAGGAAGTTTAAAGGCTGGCATCTCTGGCCTTAACTCATGCCACAGTGTGCCTTTTTTGTTTTCCTTTCTGTACCCGGACACTCCCTTCCCTAACATTTAAGAATTGAGGATGGAGGCAACTGTAACTGAATTTCATGATGTCTATTTCAATCATTTAAACATCAGCTTAACATTAAACATTTGTTCAGAATGAAGAGATCATCAGGGAATCAGGATATTAATCCAATTTCATAACTACCATACAACAAGCTGTGGTGACATCTGCCGTATTTGTATAAATCAGTCCCGTTCAGCAAAAAAAGGCTTCTCAATTTGTTTCAATACTATTGTGGTGTTGTCTGTGTATTTTGTATTAATTATGACCTCATATATTTTGGACATTTTTGGCTGAAAAACTATTAAATTTTTTGCATAACAATTCTATGCACTTTATTGCCTTACCTACATACATGTCAGCAGCATTTCTCCCCGTCTTTGACACATGAAATTTAGCCATTAGAACTTTGCTCTCTTCTGTTAAGAGAAATCAGTTATTTTAATTATTTATAGTCCCTCTGCGTTTGGATCAGAAAACACACCAAAGAAACCCTGCTCCTTGAACTTCCTCAGCTGCCTTTAATTTGAATTTAAGATGCAGTATAAACAAGTTCTGAACACTTTTTGGTAATGCAGTGCAGCATTACACAGTGGAACCTGGCAGACACTGAGCAAAGATCACTTCGGACTGGCTCTCTGCTGTTTTGAGTCTCCTGTGTTGAGCAGATAAACTTCAGTGCATTTAAACCGCTGCTTAATGATGGCCTATAGGGGGTTCTCTGAGGAAGCGTTGTTCCAGGTCAGCCATAAAAATGTTGGCATATTGTGGGGCCATGCGGGTGCCCATGGTGGTGCCACTGGTCTGGAGGTATATATTGTCACCAAATTTGAAATAATTGTGCATGAGGAGCTCAGCAACAAAGTCACAGAGCTCAGCAACAAGTTGTGCTGTGTCATGATCAGGGATACTGTTCCTGACAGCTTGTATTCCATCTGTGTGTGGGATGTTTGTGTAGAGAGCCTCCACATCCATGGTGGCTAGGATGGTGTTTTCTGGAAGATCACCAATGCATTGTAGTTTTCTCAAGAAATCAGTGGTGTCACGGAGATAGCTGGAGGAAAACACTTCAACCTTGCTGGCCACACAATAGCAGATGTAAAGGTAGCCATCTTACAGCAAAAAAACTTCAGGACCACACTTCAAAGAGAAACTGCTGAGCTTTAGTTCATTTGCAAATTTGACACCATCAGATCAGGATTAAAAAAAGACTGTGAATAGCTAGCCAACCACAAAAGCAGTTTCTCCTCCCTTGGTGTTCACACCTCAACTGCTAGAAGAGGGCCTCACCCTCCCTGATTGAACTAACCTCATTATCTCCAGACTGATTCTTGCCTGCATATTTATACCTCCCTCTGGAAATTTCCATTATATGTGTCATGCATCTAAGTGGGTATTCATCCCCAAAAGCTTATGCTCCAATACATCTGTTAGTCTTTAAGGTGCCACAGGACTCTTTGTTACTTATGACATTAACAGACCTACAAGTCTAGACAGTATTTGGTCCTGCCATGCGGGCAGGGGACTGGACTCGATGACCTGTCGAGGTCCCTTCCAGTCCTAGAATCTATAAGTATCACTTTTCACAGCGGACTTAGCTCTGGCAATCCTGGGGACAAATTAAGCCCTGGATGAGGGGGTTGGGGGAGGCAGTGGGGGCTGGAGTCTGAAGCCCCTGGCTGGGGGACAGAGCCCGAAGTCACACGGCAAGAGCCTGGGGCCCCCTGCTGCACAGTCGGAAGCCTGAAGCCTGTGGCCAGAGCTTGTTACCTTATATGGAGATATACCTATCTCATAGAGCTGGAAGGGACCCCCGAAAGGTTATCAAGTCCAGCCCCCTGCCTTCACTAGCAGGACCAAGTACTGATTTTGCCCCAGATCCCTAAGTGGTCCCCTCAAGGATTGAATTTACAACCCTGGGTTTAGTAGGCCAATGCTCAAACCACTGAGCTATCCCTCCCCCCTAGTGCTGAAGCCCAAATCCTGAACCCTGTGATGGTGGGGAGCTCACCAGCTGCCTGCTCCTCAGCATTGTGCCCCAGGTGTCTCCAGAGGGAGGCACGGCCCAATCTCTACTAGCGGCCCCAGCAACCAACACCAAGGTCGTGAATCCAAGAGCACCAGGGAGGGGCCCTGTTCCCCTCCCCTGATAATCACAACCCAGGAGGCTGTGGCTGTAAGAAAAGCCCCGGTGGCTATGTGCAGCAATGGTGGCCACACTTGAGAAACACTGGTATATATTGCTCATAGGGTGACCATATGTCCCATTTTTAATGGGACAGTCCTGGTTTTTGGGACTTTTTCTTATATAGGTGCCTATTACCCCCCACCCCCTGTTCCGTTTTTTCACAGTTGCTATCTGGTAACCTTAATTGCTCATGTTACAAATTGTGTGGTAATCTTTATTAATGGGTTGCTAAGATAAAATGCTCACCCTATTGTGTGTTTTAGTTAGTGGGACTTAGCTTCAGCAGGATGCAAGCAAAGTTCCAGTTTATAGGGCTGGAGCTAAACTGAGCATGTATTGGCAGGTAATGATTTTGATTTTGAAATATTCCTTTTGCAAAGAAATTGTGAAGGCAATAGCTGTGGCAATGTCAGGAGCTTCAGCAGAAGTGTACTGTCTAGGCAGTTCTCATACAGTGTGCAGTAAAGGAAACACTTGTCGGTGATGGAAGCTACTTAGCTTTGATCCTCTTCATAGTCACGGTCTTGCTACAGAAAGGCCACATCCCCTAACCTTTCCAGCTTCACTTCTAGGAGCTTCTGATTTTATATAAGCATGGAGT